TCTTCTTTCAATAGGCACGAAGATCAAATGGCAAAAAGATTGGATGGTAGTCTAAATTGGACTATATATAGGAGAGAAAAGAAAAACTGTCCAAAACTACAAATTTTTCAAGTCAACACGAAATAAATCGTCCCGTACGATCGTGGATCATCCTGGACGATTTTACTTAAAGTGTTGGAAACAATCCTGATGTATATTGGTACAAACTATGTTCGTACACGATCATCATCCCGTACGAACTAGGTTCGTCCAATACGATCAGTTATACCATAGGTCGGTTCCCTAATAACTGTAGGACGTAACCAACTGTGGTAAGTCGGTTCACATCGTCCTGGGACAAACAGGACTTCGTCCGGACAAAATTTTTACAGAGAGCAACTCGTCCTGGCACGATAATGAATTTCATCTAAATGAATTTTTTACAGAGAAGAATTCGTCCTAGGACGATTTGTATTTTGTCTGGACAAAATTTTTACAGAGCCCAAGTTGTCTTGGCACGATTATAAATTTCATCTGAACGAAATTTTTACAGAGCTCAATTCATCTTGGGACAAAAATAATTTCATCCTGGATGATCAGGACTTAGAAAAATTTTATCACCTCCTGTTTGTTCCATTGCTCCTACGAGGAGATAACTGACTTGATCGTCCCGTACGAACTAGGTACGTCCCGTACGATCAGTACAAATTCTGTAAGATATCCTTAAGTGTGTGTGTGTGTGTGTTTTTATTCACTCAATTACAATCACTCCCTCTCAATTCAAAAAATAATTTAAAACTTCAATTTGCAAAGAATTGTATGCTAAATTTGATTTGAATTCTTCATAGTTTGGAGTTCAATTTTCCTGAAATGTTAGTACACACAAGAGAAAAATAAATCTTCCAAAAAATGTTAGGAGATAACTACACATAAAACAATAATATTTGAAATCATCAAAACTATACAAGTTGCAAGAATATAACATATGCAAATAGCAACTCTCTTAACACTTCTATCAAAGTTATATTCTTTCTTTCAATAACCCCATTCTATTGAGGGGTCTTAGGAGCTAAAAAATTGTGATATATTCCTCGTTTTTTATTAAACATTTCAAATTTTTTATTTTTAAATTCTCTTCGATGAATACTTTGAATTATAAGAATTTTACATCTTAGTTTCCTTTGAATCTAAGTAAATAAAATTTTTAAATTCATCAAATGATTCACTCTTATATGATAAAAATCTAATTTAAGTGAATCTTCATCCTGGATGATCAGGACTTAGAAAAATTTCATCACCTCCTATTCGTTCCATTGCTCCTACGAGGAGATAACTGACTTGATCGTCCCGTACAAACTAGGTTTGTCCCGTATGATCAGTACAAATTTTGTAAGATCTCCTTAAGTGTGTGTGTGTGTGTGTGTTTTTATTCACTCAATTACAATCACTCCCTCTTAATTCAAAAAATAATATAAAGCTTCAATTTGCAAAGAATTATATGCTGAATTTGATTTGAATTCTTCATAGTTTGGAGTTCAATTTTCCTGAAATGTTAGTACACACAAGAGAAAAAATAAATCTTCCAAAAAATGTTAGGAGATAACTACACATAAAACAATAATATTTGAAATCATCAAAACTATACAAGTTGCAAGAATATAACATATGCAAATAGCAACTCTCTTAACACTTCTATCAAAGTTATATTCTTTCTTTCAATAACCCCATTCTATTGAGGGGTCTTAGGAGCTAAAAAATTGTGATATATTCCTCGTTTTTTATTAAACATTTCAAATTTTTTATTTTTAAATTCTCTTCGATGAATACTTTGAATTATAAGAATTTTACATCTAGTTTCCTCTGAATCTAAGTAAATAAAATTTTTAAATTCATCAAATGATTCACTCTTATATGATAAAAATCTAATTTAAGTGAATCTTAAATAATCATCAATAATTATATATCCAAAAACTTTTTCTCTTAGACTTACAGTGCTAACTTGTCCAAAAAGATCCATGTATATGATTTCTAATGGTTTGCTAGTTCTAATATCCTTAATTGAATGAAAGGGGTACTTAACATGTTTTCTTAATTGACATGCATCACACTGATGACCTTTAGTGAAGTCTAATTTGGGTATTCTTCTAACCATTTTTTTATGG